AAAATAATTCTGCTGAGAATTTTTTTTTAACCTATTTTTGTACTTTCTTGAAGCTTTATACCTGAAATGAACTAGTGCCACATTTTTTTGTTCTTATCCCCAAGAACAGGAACAAATGCTCAAGAACTCGCAGACAAGAAAGCCTACCAGCTAAAGACAGCACAGTTTTGATCTCTATAATTAGATATGTCCAAGTCCTCCTGACTATGCCTGTGCTTTACTCCCACTGAAGTCCATGAATGCTGCATTCAACTTGGTATGTGGCTATTGGAAGGATTTTTATTGGAAAGCAAGTGAACTAAATACCCAGAGGATGGCCTTTCTTCCCAGTGAAGGGCATTGCTGAAAAGCCATCAACATCATACAGGAATTTAATGGATTAATTATGTCATATTGTAATTTTTTACCTTATAGCTTCCAGCAAAAGATGAATCCCCCACTCACATGCACACAAAGAATGGACATTAGTTCACACTGGCAACTTTTCACATGGCTGATGTCTGTTTTTTAATTCTTATTGAAAACTGGACTCTGTCCTGCAGGCATAGATTCAAGTTAAGGTACAAGTAAACTAGAATCCATGTAGAGTTGAAGGCATGTTTCTTGCTGAAAGACGAAGATGTCTTTACAACCTTGCCCCTTGTCATGGCCCAGCTATGGAAAACAGGGCATTCGCTTGTAGCCTTCTAATTTATATAAAACTTGCAAACTTGTTGCTGTGATACATCTCAGCAAAGATGGGATATGATAGGAGGAATGTGTAACTGTATGCCATCAAAAATCATTGGTGTCCCCACTCAGGCTACTTGCAACTTTCTTAATGGCTTAATTTTGAAATACGTACCTTTTGTGGGATTATTTTTGCAAATAGTATTATGGACTCCCCAGCTTCATTTCCCACTTCAACAAATGATTTTCATTAGTGAAAATCCCAAGCATACCTCCCTCTGAAGTCTCTTTCTCCATTTCCCAAATCAGAATCTATGGGAAAACTGCATAAATGGATCACAATCTCATCAATCTTTGCATTGACTTCAGGAATTTCTTTTATTTTAACATTTGATTTTGTTAGGCAGAGGAGAACCAATGGCCCTACTACTAGCCAGGCTGGCTGTAGTACATAGCAAATGCCTGATCAGGATGTGTATGGCAATTCACGAGGCAGAACTCTTCCTGAGGAAGGAACAAGGGCATCAGTAAGAACACAGTAACCATGGAGCTTACTGAAATGAAGGGTAGCTTTTCTTTTGAGTAGGCTTTAGTAGTGTTAAGCAGCTGAGGTAAATTCCTGCAAAATTTGAGGAAGTTGTTATGTTTGGCCAATTGAATATGTTGAAGTGTGGAGAAGTGTAGATATGTTTGCTGGTGCTGCAAAAAGATGCGTCTTGAATGAAATTCAGTTTGGGTTTTTTTTCTTTTTTGTTTTTTGTTTTTTTTGGGGGGGGGGCAGGGGTGGGAGGTCTGCTATTGTTTCAAAGCCACCATGAAACTTCTGGGCAGATATGTGAAACTAACATTATGTATGCATTATGTGTGGTTCTTAGTTTTTCAGCTGAATTGGAAGAAAATTATGATGTATCACTTTAGTATTGCTTACTGACAATGAATTTGGAAGCTGATGTGTCTGTGTTATTCAGCACTAGATACTACTTCTATTGTTTTAGCAGCTACTCATGTTGTCTGAAACTGCTATAATGATTTACCTGACTTGGGATTCTTTATTTCTACTTATTATTATTGTTTCTGAATAGCTCTTATCATGCTTGCGGACATTCATTAGAGTAGAATTGCTGGAGATCCTGCAGCTTGAGAAAACAAGGAGCTGTCTTGTGTTCAGTATTAATAAGTGTGGCCATTATCTTTAAAAAATTGTCAAGAGAAATAAATAGATTTATGATATATGCAACAGTACTGTGCTGCTTTTATTTTCAAAAGCACTGGCATAAAGGCCGGTATATTTTTCTGTATCCTGGCATTTCAATATCCATCAATTTAAGCAAAAGAATTAACTGCCACTTGTGTCATTGGGAAGGAATAATGAATATTACAAGAAGCCCTTTTAATTGATGCATTTTTAATGTTAGTCTGTAAAACAGCCTTAAACCCAAGAACTTTATGTGTAGGCAGAAAAAAATATTTTCTTTACATCTTTGTACTGAGAGGAATAAAATCTCAAATTGTATGCACTACTTAGCAAGCAGTGTTGTGCAACTCTGGTGGAAGAAGATGCTGGAGCCTGAGCCCATGTCCTTATTCATGTCCCTAAGGATGAATCCACCCCTAAATTGGGGCAGTTGCATCCAAAGTGCCTGCTGGGAATTAATTGTGGTTGATCCTCATTCCTGAACAGCATCCAGGAGTTATTTGGGAAAGTGCTGTTTGAAATAGGTCAAAACTATTCCAGGAACTGTTACCACAATATAGATGGCTGAGTTTCCATGCTAAAAGCATTGCTGGGTGCTATTAAATGTATTAGTATGGGAGTAGCCTATTTTACTTAGCAGAGCAAAAGGCTTGTTCCCAATGGTGTGATGGGAAACAGGGCTACCGAGAAGACAAAAGACCATAAGATTGCTCCACCTTAACCAATATTTCTGAATGGCTCTCTTCCTGTCAGCCTGAAGCTTAAGTGTAATCAGAGCTCAGGTCAGCAGCCTGTTAGGATGCTGCCATCTTCTTTGTCTAAATTTTGGGTCTCCTTTTGCCTAGCTAGTTTTGAAGGGTATCAGGATTCTGCTGTTTTCAAATTAATTTCTCTAGCTCATGCTCTTCTTTCCTTAATATTAATCAGTTTAGAGGAACATATTTAATTAGCATCTTTGATTAGCCCTTGAAGTTTTAGCAAGCAAGCAAGATGTTGCTCCAACTCTTTGAATGCAGAACACCTATGGACACATTGATATGCTGATTTCCTTCTGGAGATAATGCTTTCCTCTCTGGAACATTAATTGGACTGTCATCTCTGACTTCCTCTTTTTCCTGCAGCATGGCTTATGCTATGCTCTGCATTGTTACGATTATAGGTTTAATATTATGAAAGACACTATTCAGACAATATTTTGATAGTCTGACAACTCCAGATGCATTGCTAGGTTTCTATAGAGATGCTACACAAGGAATTAACGTATATGACTGACTTGACTGAGTTCACCTTTAGTCAGGTTTAGAAACCTGAGTCCTTTTCTTGTAACAGGGACACTTTACTAACGTATTACTTAATTGGCATAGTAGGGTGTTTTCTGTATTCAAAGGCAATGCACAATCTTGCAGAGAAATTTTATTTGCTTCTGCTCTTGTAATCATCTTTTCTAATACTGAAACTGAGTTAGTTTTTCATCTATCCATGTGCTGACCTGGAAAATGCAGTGTCTTAAGCTTCTACCTCTTTTTACACAAATGAGAACTCCCACATACCCCATGTCATTCTTTTGCCATCCATAAGGAATTAGAACATCCAGGTATACCTCTAAGTTGCCAGATATTTCTTTGCAGAGCTTCAACCTTCTCAAATATATCCAGACTTTCTGTAGGAGTTCTGACTCTTTCTGGTGCAGAAATAAATTATTTTAGCATAGGTAGAGCAACACAAAATCTGCGATGTAAAACCTCAAGTTCCCAGAATTGTTCTGTGCAATCTCAGTACTTAAACACTCATCTTTCATGTAAAAAACATATGAACTTTATGTTTGGTTAAGAGGACTATTAATTTATTTAACTTTGATATACTTTGTATATAACGAATCTTATGCTTCACTTGATTCTTTCTGTATTGTGAGTTGGCTGAGGTCCAGGTAGTGGAAAAAAAGGGAGTGAACTGGGAATGCTGAGACTTTAAAAGCATGACTTGCTACAGCCTGATCAAGTACTGTACCTGAAGTGGTAACATGGTTTTGTGTTGTGTAGAGTAGCGGAGAACTTGTGGGTTCCTGTTGTTTTTCCCGACTTCTCAAGTGAAAGTCACCCACTGACCAGCAGGACATTTTCCAAAAATGCATCTACGCACCATTTGAGATCAGAGGGTGAAAGAAAAAAGCACACTTGGTAGTCTGTTTCAGCAGTTAGTCAGCATCACTCATAGGCCAAGTCTTTTTCTCCAAGGTTAAGCAGCTATCATTGGTAGCAACATCTTCTCCCACTGCCAGAGTTAGCTGATTGTGCTGCTAGCAGAATAAATCTTTGTGTTCAATGCCTTTTGAAGCACTCTTTCTGCTCTCACTTCAGTACCTTCATGCTTTCCAAAGCTGTATATAGAAATAAAGTTTCCTCTTTCCTCTAATTCTATTGCTTTGAGTGAGCAAAGACTTGAATAGATATGCCTGGGATTGCAGTTTTGCAAACTGGTTCCTGATCATGGCACTGAAACTCCTATTCTTGATGTTTGGTTTTGTTTCTGCTAGTGACTTTATTTAACTGTACTTGATTAAAACTGTGAACAAAGCAATGCTACTGTGAAAATCCTGTTTAGTTGTGCAATTCTGCTTCAACTAAAGGCAGGCATTTTTTTTTCAGTGCTACAAAATGCTTCAGTCTCTCTGGTTAATTAAGAAATCTGCTGTAAGTTTGCATTGTATTAAGCATAAAGGAAATATCCTTAAAATAATCTTTTAAATAACTTATCTGAGATTTACAGATCTGGTTGAAGGATTTGCAACAATTCAGTGAAGCAGTTGCATCCTGGTGAAGTCCAATAGTATGTGAGTCTGTGTTTTAGATGCTTTACAATGATGAAAGAAAGCGTAGCCACTGTAAACCATAAATATGCAAATAACAAGAATTGTTTGCTTAAAACGTACTCCCAGCAAATGTCTTATCCATAATATAGCCTCTTACCCTCTGTCCCATTTCATTCTGCCTGTCTCCGTAACCTTCTGTTCCACCTGTGGTGTTTTTAAGCTGGCACACGATAAAATGTCTAGGCTAGATTCCAAGGGTGGAATAAAAAACTGTATTTATTTTTATGGAAACACTAACGATTCTATTTGGATTGGATTTCTTCATAGCAAAACCAATGAATTATTGAACAGATTGGACGTGGGTTTGCCAAAGAGTGATTCCTGTCAGATTGCTAATCATGGTGCAGAATCTACAGCATGGGTAAGAAAAATCATGGCATGTGCTATATTTTCTATCAGCTTTCCAGGTGCTGTCAATAGTGTAATATTAGAATATTCTAATTGAGCTTAATTGCCTAGACAGAACTCAGCAAGTGCCAAGGGCTCTTTCTGGGTGAATGAGATTGTCTACATTGTTTCTTACACACTGACAGTATCCTACATATTAGGGGACTGCCTTTATTATTCACAGACCTCTCTTTGGTAAATGAGAACCAGATTTATATTCTAAGGTCAGATCAGAATCTTAAATGTGCTCTGTACCCATCCATTGGTGGCAAGCTTTTATGAAATCTCAACTAGTTCATGTCAGCAGATGCTTAACTTCTAGTCAGAAGAGAAGCTTATTCCTCATGCATCCAAAAAGTGATTCCATAGACTGCTTGGGGACTTTGTCCCAGTTTGAATGAACCTTTTAAGTATCAATGTAACTAGGAAGTAGATAAAGTACTGCTTAAGTTTCATTATTCTAATTGCCTCAGAAAGGCTTTTCCACGTATGATTAGTCTCTTCATGTCTAAACCACTTTCCTCCTAATGTAAAAGCTTCCAGTGATGGATATTAAGCCTGAGACAGAAGTATTTCTCCTTTAGGAGGTTCATAACTGGGGGAAAGACAAAGAGCAGGCAGCCAAGTGGACAGAAATTGTTGTTACAAGCAATAGTCCTTAGTCAGCAGAAACTTGGAATTATCCAATCTGAGTAGCCCTCAGTAGCATTCAACCTTGAACAGGTTTGAACAGAACCAACAGCAGACTAAAGAGAAAGAAAGCTTTACCTCCATATTTTGTAAGAAGCTTTGGAAATGCACAAGATCCTCCTGGTACAGAGATGGCTGCAGGCATTATATATGACAGATCTGTCTTGCCTCTACTGTTGCTTCCTGCTTTTCATTGCATGAAAAGGGAAGGTGATAGAAAAATTATTCTTTCTCACTTTGATTTCTCAGGTCATTTTGTGTCTCTAAGAACCCTAAAGAAATTTTAGCATGTGTGGGCAGATACACAGTCTGAAGGAGCCAATCTCTGCCCAGCATTGTTTGGCAGAATGTCAATTGCAAAGGGAGTGGCTTTCAGACTGCCTTTGTAATCCTGGGTGTACAAGTAAGATGAAGGATTACGGGAAGGGAGAAAATATGTCTTGAAACCACTTCTACTTACCTCTTGAAGAATCCAACATTGAACACTGGGGAGCTTGTCCTTTGGTAGGGGAGACCCAGATCTGCAGCCTTTCATATGGTGTGAACGTTGAATCGCAAAGACAACCAAGCTCATGTCCTCAGGACTGACTTGGACTTCAGTATTCTGGTGTCTTCATATCTTTACAGAAGGGGGTGAATGCCTGAGAGAACACTGAATTCTTTCATGTGTACAGGTCCTACTTGCAGTCTTTGCCTTCTACTTCACTTACCTATATGTGCCTTTGTCATATCAGTTTTGAAAGGTTTTTTAATAAGTTATGCCAAATTACATACCATAATTCATTTTTGGATTTACTAGTATCAAAGCAAATAATATACATCTTTTATCTGTAATGTTCTTTAATACTAGCTGATATTATACATGTCTTTTTAATGACAGCATTTCTATAGCTTTGTTGATCAATACGTGACTTGCTTATAATGCAGCAACATAGTTAGCAAAATGTCTTCCCAACCAGCTTGGATGAGGTACAGTCTGTAGGCTTACAGGCAGCCTCTGTGCTCTGTGTGAGGAACCTGAAGCACATAACCAATGAGTTGTTATCTAAATAGACTTGGTGTACTACCAAAATGCTAAACCAGTGGAAAACCTGAACTCTAATTTTGATGTTATCATGGACCTGTCCTTTGCCTAGAGTAATTAAAAGATTCAGGAGCAACATATTTGAAATAGTGAAATGTGTTAAGCTTAGGAAGCGCCTGACATGCATGCTAAAAGAGTGGTGGTGGATAAATGTATGATTTTTTAAATTTAAAATTTATGTTAGAAAAAAGTTTGGGGCAATGTAAAGTTGATTTTTTTTCACTCACATAATTTCTTTGGTAGTTGTATTCATTTAGCACACAATTCAAATATTAGTGTTAAATATTACTTGATGTACGTGAACAAATTTAACTACTTTGGAGTGACTCTGTCATTGGTGACTTCTCTGGCCTGCTTATTTAATCAAGCCCATAATTAATTTTAATCCTGTCTTTCAAAGTGTTACCAATCCTGTGTAGATTTTTACTGTCTTCCAACTTGATTAACACACACTTCACACAATTCTCCAAGACATTACAGAGAGTAATGAATAATATTGGACCTAGAATGAGTCTCCCTGGACACATGTAACAACTTCTCCCAGCTCAAAATTGAGCTATTAATAATTGCTTTCTCTTTTCAGTCTTTTTAGCAAATTATGTGCCTGTTGTTTTAATGGTGTCAGTCTGCATGCATATATCAAATTTCGAGAACATTGTGTGGGCCTGCAACAAATTCCTCACCAAAGTCAAACCTGCACACTTCTTGTATTAAAGTGTACTGGCTCATTATTTAGTGTGCTACACTATGTGCCTGATCAAAGACTTTACAGTATAAGTTCCTATGTAAAAGATCCTAAGGATCCTATAAGATCTTAATGGTAGGCTGGCTCTTTGCTAACTACAACTTGTGAAAGACCAGGGTTAGTTATTGTACTGAAAAACTACTACACAGTTGAATGCATTATTCGTGATGTGTAGTTCGTATTTTCAGTTCTCTTGGCTGTCCCACAAATAATACAGTTTTGATTTCTCAGTTTCTGTTGCCCTACCTCCACAAATAATTCCTCTCTGTTACCAGGCCTCCATTCTGCTTTGTTAGCTTGGTAATGTTTTCTTTCTTCCCAGAATACCCCATCTAGCTATCAGATTTCCTGATTGTGCTTTCTGACTGCTCAGGGCATGTTTATCCCTGCCACTGGGACACCAAGTAGTGTGTGCTCTGGCTACCAGGTTGTGATGTGGAAGTGGACATTGAGCCAAACCAAATGACCAAGAGACTTTAAACCACTTCTTATTTAAATTCTAGTCTTGAGACTAATCTATTTTTTAAATAACTGTAATCATTCAACTGGTTCTTTTATCTTAAATACCTGTATAACAATTTGGGAATAAGATTTGGAAATTTGTCCCCCTTCTCCCCACACCAATATGTTCATATTCTTTGTTGAACAATAGATGAGAAGCCGTATGTATAAGCAAGCTCTTCGAGAGGATGAAACCAGAAGATTAGAGGAAATGAAGCAAGAACAACGGAGGAAGGTAATTATACATTAACAGTTTGCATATTGTATCATTTTTGCATGCTGTGAAACCAATTAAATACATTGATTACTTGTAGCCTACGCACAAAGCTTCTCTTTAGCAAAGGTGATTCAGTCACTGTTTTCAAATACTGTGAGAGAGATGAACCAAGCTGTAAAATTTGGACAGGGACAGGGCAATTACCTTCTGGGCTCAAGGCTATCTACATCTGGATGACTGGCTTTGTTCACCTCTCCATCTGAAAAATTGTGCAGAGAAGTTTTTTGACCATGCCACCTGATTTCATAGGCTAAAGAAACCAATTCCCTCTCTTTCAGGCAGAAGTAATCTTATGATATTCTGAATATCATTCATCCTCCAGGATACAGGGGAGGACCTAAAAAAAGCTAGGAGGACTGGCCAGGTTAATAAATGGTTAAAAGGGTGGTGTCATAGGGGTTTGGGTGCCTTGAACACGGGACCCAAGTTTGTAGGCCAGGTCTAGTGGGGGCTGGTGGAGCTGGTCTGATAAAGAAGGGAAAGAACAGTTTTGGTAGGAGGCTTGCCAGACTGGTCAAGGAGACTTTAAACTAGATGTGTTGGGTGAAGGGGGCATCATTCCATCCCAACACACCCAGTCAGTTGCCAGCACCTGACTCAGAGCAATGTAGAGGTATCCCAGCCGCTCCAGCCAATGAGCCGGCTTCATTTGGAGCTCGGCTCAGATGCCTCTATACAAACACCCATAGCATGGGGAACAAACAAGAGGAATTAGAGATGTGGGCACATCTATGGGGGTATGATATAATAGGCATTGCAGAAACATGATGGGGTGGCTCCTATGACTGGAGTGTTGGAATGGAAGGTTACAGGCTCTTTAGGAAGGACAGGCCTGGCAGGCGGGGAGGGGGAGTTGCCCTTTATGTTAGGGATAGGCTGGAGAGTATGGAACTCTGTCTGGGGACAGGTGAGCAGTTAACAGAGAGCTTGTGGGTCAGGGTTAAAGGGAATATAGCTATGGGAGACATTACTGTGGGGATCTGTTACAGACCGCCTGATCAAGGAGAACCTGCGGATGAAGCACTCTATAGACAGATAGGAAAAGCCTCACGCTCACAGGCCCTTGTTCTCATGGGTGACTTCAACCACCCTGACATCTGTTGGAATGACAGTATGGCCCCGCACAAGCAATCCAGGAGGTTCCTCGATTGGAAGCTAGGGACCAGGTTAGGAAAGATAAGGCCCAGTTAGAATTAAACTTAGCTAGGGGTATTAAGGATAAGAGGAAGGGATTCTACAAGTACATAGCAAATAAAAAACAGACTAGGGAGAATGTAGGCCCCCTCAGGAAGCTGTCGGGAGAACTGGCTACACAGGATGTGGAGAAGGCTGAGGTTCTGAATGACTTCTCTGCCTCGGTAGGAGAGGAGCTGGTACGAGACCATCTTAAAAACCTGAATGTGCACAAGTCCATGGGACCTGGTGAGATCCATCTGCGGGTCCTGGAGGAGCTGGTGAATGAAGTTGCGAAGCCACTGGCCATCATATTTGAGAAATCATGGCAGTCAGGTGAAGTTCCCAATGACTGGAAAAAGGGAAATATAACCCCCATTTTCAAGAAGGGGAATATGGATGACCCGGGGAATTACAGACCAGTCAGTCTCACCTCTGTGCCTGGCAAAATCTTGGAGCAGATTCTCCTGGAAGGCATGCTAAGGCACATGAAAAACAAGAAGGTGCTTGGTGACAGCCAGCATGGCTTCACTGAGGGGAAATCCTGCCTGACCAATTTGGTGGCCTTCTATGATGGGGCTGCAGAACTGATGGACAGGGGTAGAGCAGCTGATGTCATCTACCTGGACTTGTGCAAAGCGTTCGACACTGTCCCACACGACATCCTTGTCTCTAAATTGGAGAAGACATCAATTTGATGAATGGACCACTTGGTGGATAAAGAACTGGCTGGATGGCTGCACACAAACAGTTGTGGTTAATGGCTCAATGTCTGGCTGGAGACCAGTAACGAGTGGTGTCCCTCAGGGATTGGTGTTGGGACCGATCTTGTTTAACATCTTCGTTGCTGACATGGACAGTGGGATTGAGTGCGCCTTCAGGAAGTTTGCCGATAACACCAAGCTGTGTGGTTCGGTTGATACGCTGGAGGGAAGGAATGCCATCCAGAGGGACCTTGACACGCTTGTGAGGTGGGCTGATGCCAACCTCATGAAGTTTAACCATGACAAGTGCAAGGTCCTACACCTGGGTCGGAGCAATCCCAGGCACAGATACAGGCTGGGCAGAGAAGAGATTCAGAGCAGCCCTGTGGAGAAGGACTTGGGGGTGTTGGTTGATGAGAAAATGAACATGGGCCAGCTTCAGTGTGCGCTCGCAGCCCAGAAAGCCAACCATATCCTGGGCTGCATCAGAAGGAGCGTGACCAGCAGGTCGAAGGAGGTGATCCTGCCCCTCTACTCTGCTCTTGTGAGACCTCACCTGGAGTGTTGTGTGCAGTTCTGGTGTCCTCAACAGAAAAAGGACATGGAATTGTTGGAACAAGTCCAGAGAAGGGCCACGAGGATGATCAGGGGACTGGAGCACCTCCTGTATGAAGACAGGCTGAGAAAGTTGGGGCTGTTCAGCCGGAGAAGAGAAGGCTGCATGGAGACCTCATAGCAGCCTTCCAGTATCTGAAGGGGGGCTATGGGGATGTTGGGGAGGGACTCTTCATTAGAGACTGTAGTGACAGGACAAGGGGTAACGGGTTAAAACTTAAACAGGGGAAGTGTAGATTGGATATAAGGAGGAAATTCTTTCCTGTTAGTGTGGTGAGGCACTGGAATGGGTTGCCCTGGGAGGTTGTGAATGCTCCATCCCTGTCAGTGTTGAACAGCAGGTTGGACAAGGCCTTGGGTGATATGATTTAGTGTAAGGTGTCCCTGCCCATGGCAGGGGGGTTGGAACTAGATGATCTTAAGGTCCTTTCCAACCTTAACTATTCTATGATTCTATGATTCTATGGTGATCTCAGACTCTGAATAATTTTTTTTTTTTTTTCTAAAGAATTGAGGTCCACGTACTCTGCCTTCCCAAAAGGGGATGTGGAAGCTCTCAGTTTTGCTTTTAAGTCTATGTTCTTCTCTGCTCCCTTGCTAACCACCTAAATGAAGAGTTTTGAGTTGTCTAAAAAGCAGGCATGCTGTAACTGCAAGTCTGAGCTCCACTTTCTGCATATGTAGCACATATTGCCTGTAATGTGTCTGCACCACTGTAGTCCCTCTGGCATAGATTTGAGTACCATGTCCACATAAAGTTCACTACAGAAAGTGATGGCACTGTGCTGCTATCTGCCTTGCTCTAAGTGTGACTGTGCAAGTACAGGGAAGGCAGCATTTGAAAATCGTATTAGCAAATAATTTGAAAACATATTAGCAAATACTGAGCCTCTTGCTATGCCTCTGCTGTTACTAACATCCAAATTAATGTTAAACTGCTTCCCCAGTAGCAGCAAACAAACACAACAAATTTCACACAGTGAGCTACTAGAGCTGGAGAAACCCCTCTCATGGATGTATCTTTCTTTAAATGTTTGGGACAACTGTCCTCATTTCATAGTATTCTAGGAACCAGGATTCTGGAAACAAAAGGTGAGGGGAAAATGAGGCTTTCCCATCAGATGTACGCTTACCATCAGGACCTGTACAGAGGAAATATTTTTGAAAGCTAGTCCTGATGGGTGTAAGGCTAGTAGCTGTTGTATTCTTGATTCTTCCATAGAGAAAAAAACTGCAGATGTCAATTAGCATGCCCCTTCTTTATGAAGGTTTGTTTTAAAGGATTTATAGAGCTTTAGAGTCTTTACCAATTTGACACATTGCTAAGAAGGTGTTGGCTGTTTCTAAGGCTGCTCTTGCTTGGCACACGGTTCCAAGTGCTCCTTGCCTTCATAGCTGCTGCTGCCTATTGCGCCGAGTCATGCACTACTTACAAATCTATTGTAAATAATATGTATTTTAACTGCTCCAATAATTGTCCCTCAGGTATATGTTGGCTCATTTCCACTTGAAACTAATATTTATTGAAGTAATTGTGAATTCTGTCTTGTGTGTACCCCCTAGCACAGTATAGCTATAAAATGTGTAGGTATTGTAAGTTCTCCCCCTGCCTTTTTTTCTCAGAGCAGGTTTTAGTATGTATTGCTTGATTTAGAAATTTTCAGTATGCTTTGAACACCGCATCATATACACACCATATATTTCAGAACATTACTCCAAGAGAGGACTCAGCATATTGGAAAGTCAGATACTGGGTTTTAATTTTCAGGTTGAATAGTTATTTAAAACAGTGAAAATTAAGGTTGGCTTTTTTATTTCTTAATCCTGTTTCTTCTTTTAGGGGGCTAGACAAATGTTGATACACAACACATTCACAGATATTGATTTTCTTCATACATCTATTGCATAGTTTTTATTTAATGGAACTTGAATTGATTTTTATTTTTTTTTAACTTTTGTGGTTCCATTCAGTTATTGAAGCTTTTCTCTAACCGCATAATTTTTATTTTAGTTTCTATTCCTACTGCTGCTCAGTTGCTATGGAAAATATGAAAGATGGGTCTGTTCCTATCCCTTCCCTCTCACCCTGCAAGCCAAATTTTCTTTGCAGAAAAATCTGCAACTTCAGTTCTTGGGTGCACTGTAGAGAGCAAGTGTTAGACAAACAAGCACATATGCAAAGCAGAATCATATAAGCTGTATGACATTACTTCGCAGTTCTGACTAAAATTGCATAAGGAAACTCTCCTCTGAAAAGAATTACCTTTGACATTGTATACCTTAATATTAGGTAATGTAAGAATGGCAAGCTGCTGCAATGCTGGGAGCTTGCACGCTGTTTCACCAACCTAACAGAATCATAGAATCAGCTAGTTTGGAAACGAGCTTAAAGACCATCAAGTCCAACCATTACCCCAGAACTGCCAAGTCCACCACTAAACCATGTCACTAAGGGCCTAATCTACACAGTTTTTGAACACTTCCAGGGACAGTGACTCCACCACTTCCCTGGCAGCCTGTTCCAATGCCTGAGCACCCTCTCAGTGAAGAAAATTTTACTAATTTCAGTCTGAACCTCCCCTGGTGCAGCTTGAGGCCGTTGCCTCTTGTCCTATCACTTGTTACCTGGGAGAAGAGACCAACCCGCACCCCACTCCATCCTACTTTCAGGTAGCTGCAGAGAGCAATAACGTCCCCCTGAGCCTCCTTTTCTCCAGACTAAAGAACCCCAGTTCCCTCAGCCATCCCTCATAAAACTTGTTCTCCAGAACATTCACCAGCTCCATTGACCTTCTCTGGACCAGCTCCAGCACCTCAATGTCTCTCTTGTAGTGTGGGGCCCAGAACTGAACACAGGAGGTGCAGCCTCACCAGTGCCAGTACAGGGGGATGATCACTGCCCTGGCCCTGCTGGCCAGACTGTTGCTGATACAGGCCAGGATGCTGTTGCCCTTTTTAGCTGCCTGGGCACAAGCTGGATCACATTCAGTCATCAGTCAGCACCCCCAGGTCCTTTTCCACCCGGCAGCTTTCCAGCCATTCTTCCCCAGACCTGTAGCGTTGCATGGGGGTGTTGTGGCCCAAGAGCAGGACGCGGCACTGAGCCTTGTTGAGCCTCATACCATTGTCACAGCTCAGGTTCTATTTGCTGTTTACCTCAGTCTTTGGAGAGCCCCAGAGAGATGGAGGTGACACACCCCTATTCCCATCTTCTCCTTGTGTTCCATGGAGGCAGGAGGTGAAGGGCATGTCTCCTTCATACCCTACAGGCATGACAGCTGTGTCTGCTCCTGCTGGATGATGTTGGCTGTCTTCCCCCTTGGACCCACAGGGTAATGCAAATATGTGGGCTGGGGCAAGGGAAGCAGGCTTGTGTCTATCTTACCCCTTTAAATGTAGGACTGTAAATGTCTGAATCCTGTTAATTCCCAGTTTTTAAACACACAAACAAAACTCATGCTGTGCAATGCAGAACAGAAAAGTTAGCTAGGTTTTTAACATAGTGCTGTCACTTAAATAAAACGCTGTTGAGAAAAGTTCTGGGAATGACAAGTGGCTCTAGCTGAAGTTAGCACCATGTGGAATTAATTGGGTTTGCAACATAGGTATGTTAATTAAAAGTAAGTTTGTTGTTTGTTTGTTTCACTTTTATCATTCCCAGGCTGAATTAATGGAAATTAAACAAAAGCAGGAAGAGGAAGACAGGATGAGAGCACGTCAAGATGAACAAAGGAGGTATGATGCAAAAATGCAGAGCACACTTTAATTGAATTCCTATGTGGAAAGTGTCTCAAAATTGCAAGCATTCGTGCGTTAGAAAGCAATTGCAATAAGGATCCCAGACCTTAGCTCTGGCTTAACTTTGCCTTCAAATGAGCCACTAATATCCATCATTAAAACTGCTTACTGTAATGCAGTATGACCCATAGTGCCATTTTGACTTTATTTATCCTATCAGTGTTGAATATTGCATAGAGTAGAAACTATTAGTAGTTTCATGGGTAACTACTAGTACAGTGGTTTCAGCTGGGGAAGTATTTATTTATCTATGTGTTTGTTTATTTATTTTTACCTTGGTTTAGAATGAGCTGCTTTCTCCATGCCACATTTTGTGGCTGACTGTCACCAAGTTTAACAGGCAAAGCTAAGTGTGGGATTTGATGTTGATACAGATGAAAGCTGCAGTGTCTCAAGGCCTTCTGCAACTGTACTGCTTCGTGCCCCAGGCTATGCCCCACCACCATGCCCTCTCTGTGCTCAGTGGTTCTAAGCTTGCACACCTGTCACTTACCTGACTTTCCATTATCTTGAAGCACAGATGTATTCTCAGCTTTGGTTTTGGCTGGCAGAAAGAAACAATGCCCAGGCTCAAAAATAAAATCACCATTTGTTTCCTTTTTTATATCATTAGGGAAATATAAAAAAAAATAAATTACTTTTGTAGGCAGCCACTCTTCATGCCATTTTCATTTCTTTTTTTTCTTTTTTCTCTAGGAAAGATATCGAGATAATTACCTTAGAAGTTAATGAAGGATTTTCGATTCAGTCCATCTCATGTCCCTAGATAGAAATAACCCAGTATCTTGCATTTTACATCGTCCTCACCAATAGCATTGTAAAACATTGAAACAACAGTCATGTCTAAGCATGTGTGTCAATCCTAAACATTAATAGAGGAGGAAAAAAGGCATAGTTTTCAGAAGGTTTGAAAATACTTAAAGCAGGTTGAGGAAAAGTGTATTTGCATTGCTGCATGCTTTCTGGGTTGATAGAGCAGTACAAGAAAATGCTAGAGTGGATTTCAGAGCTGGATGGTAGGAAAAGTTGTCAGCTACATGAATTGTGTTTGTTAGAACAAGCTGAAGTGGGTTTTTTCATTTGCATTAGGAAAGCAGTATTTCTAGAAACTCTTCTTCTGTACTGAACACTGAAATTCTACCTAGGGTGAATTGTCAAAAGAGCTAATCTTCCTAATGAGGTGGGTGATGGTATGCAAGTTGTCTTTCTATGGAGAATTTTGGTGCATTTCTCACAGCAGCCAAGGCATGCCTTTTAATCACAAAGGACTGATCACAGAATAAGGAAGCATCCAGTGAACTGAAAATGAAATCCACCTTATCTCATGCCTGTCCATGGTTTTGCAGCACAGGCTTGAAAAACATAGGAAGATAGGTATTGAACTGAGAATAGGGAAAGCCACTGAATTTCAAGTTTGTGAACTCCTCAGATGCTTTCAATCATTATTCATTTTTTGTTGTATTTTAAGGGTAAATATTGCTTTCCTGGACCAACTCCAGAACAAAACACAACTTACTAACATCCACCAGCCTGAACATTCTGGGAGCCTGGACTAATGCAGTAATAGTGACTGGGTAAGATTTTGGGTGCAGAACATGAAAGCAATGAAATTGCTTAAAAGTTGAATTTTTCCTCAGATACTATTGCGTGTCTGTGTGTTTTTAGCCTGCCTGACAGAACTCACCATCTTGGCTGTCAGTCTACAATAGCTTTTAAGAAGAAATTTTATCTTAAGTATAAGCTGTTCAAATAGAAGGAGGGAGGTTCTCTTGCAGCAGAACTCACTTGCACATGTTTTGCATGCAAGGTACTTACTGCAAGGAACTGCATCTAAGGTACTTCCTTAAGTTCAGAACAAGGGTACAGAAATGGTAAGGGATTTTTGAAAAGTTTAAAAATGAAGCATGTTTGGAAATGCTGTAAACATTTTACTGTGATATTGAAATTGAAGGGGAAAATGCCACATGAAAGGTAAAGCTGTTCATTTTTTATCCACGTAAAACTGTGACATAGAAGACCTAACTGCATCAATATAAAGTACATAGTATTTGTAAAGATTCTTTGAAGAAAAGATACCTTGACTGTAACCTATTAAACATCCATTATTTTTTCAGCTGTCCTAATGAGGCATTAATGTGACTGTTATTTAGAATTGCACTTTTCAGTGTTAAAAACAAAATTATGTAGTATTTGCATTATGGAAATTTCCATTAGATTGAAATTCAATTGTGGGGAGGATCCTAGTGCAGAAATGAAAGATTTACAAAGAGAGAGCAGCAAAAGGATGAGAGTCTAAGAAAATTTAGTTCCAGTGTGAAGATGTTTAGCTGATAAACCAGAAAAATTTGTATTGGATTAGTAGGACCGTATATTGGTAGATGAATGCCAGGAAGACTTGGGTTCAAGAGTCTATGAAGTCAAGGCATGATTAAGAAGCAAATGTTCTTGCTGCTGGAGTTTCCCATATACTAGAAGTGGAAAAGGAGTGTCTTCATCACTACAAGCTTTGGGGAAGTCCTGTGCCACAGCAGAGGGCTCAGGCATCTTGGACAGATTCTTTTGGACACATTCTCTTGGTCTTGCTAAGAGGAGGCAGGATCTGCCAGCTCAACCTCCCATAAGGTCTGCGGGCAGCTGCTTGGAGAGCCAGTTGGTCGGAGGCTTTACTGGTAAAGCCTGTATCACATGCCAGGCAATCCAGGAGTTGTTGGAAGCCAGACTACGAATATCCAGGCTAGTAAAAGAGTGTGAGTAAGAGAGTATTCTGTATGGCAGGCCTGAAGCATCTTCTGAAGGATAGAACATGTGCGGATAGCAGAATCAGACTTCAGGGTAGGAAGGAGCTAAGTGATGCCTTGTAAGCAGCAAAAGGTAAAGTCTGCTGAAGGGTTAACAAAGGCAGGAAGGGCAAAAATTAGTGTTTTTATTTCACGTTGTGTTCTTTGTCCAAATTTGTAAACTGTTTCCTGATAAACTCAAAAGAAAATGTGTGACACAGCTGAGATTCCCAATATGTAAACTCTAGCATCTCCATCAGAATGCCTGCTGTCAGCACTAAAAACCCTTGCCATTGTCTGCAGAAAGAGACGAGGTTTGCCTTTAGCCAAATGCCATATGTCATCTTCCACAGAGTGGGTGTTAGTACCACCAAACAAGTGCAGTCAGCCCAGCACAGTTTTAACAAGACAACTCTGTGCATATGCAGCCAATTTATGCATTTTATTGTTTTTGGTTTTTTTTAAATATATATTGTCAAGGACTGCATCAACATAAATGCAATAAAACCCAGTGTGAAGAAATGATAAATGTCCTACTCTGATGTTTACTTAATGGCTCCCAAGGAGGCTGCCTTCTGTTGGGTAATGCTTGATTATCCATTTTTCCTTTATGCTGTGATGTGAGATTTGAAGACTAAACAAAGCAGGGAAAGAATAAGCCATGAAAGAATATGTCATCATGGAAAGGAATTAAAAAAGGGTATTTATAACAAAAGCAAGAAAGAAAAGTAATTCTCAAAAGATAGGCTAGAGGCTGCAAACTCACTGTCTTTGATTATATGAAGATTCTTCTCCCTTCCCTTGGGACTTTAAGCAAAAATATCTGAACTCCAGGTCGGGCTTGCAAGTCCTGTAGTCTGCAGCATGGCGTTTACATTACAAGGAAGCTATCTGTAGCAGGTCAGACTATAAATAAAGATTAAAAGAAATTAAAAATGTTTCCAAAGTTAAGACCTGCAGGTAATTTTTGAACTTGCTCCATCTGTGCAGTGGCACTGAAAAAGAAATATTTGTTTTCTTTCCCGCTTCTCTTTTTTTTTCCTGTTTGAACTCTACAGTCACAACAGCTTCACACAGAACAGAAACATGGCACCATGTCGTCAATATACCTGCTGTATTTTTCACTATTATATCTATTAGACTGATTTCCTCAGTAAATTAAGTTTGAATGATCATGCTATCTGTCTGCATGTAATAAGGTTTTCAACCTGCTGGCCAACCTTAGCCAAATTTGAAAGAGAGTGTAAGTCTCAAAAGTGATTAAGTTTCAGTGCTGGCAGTGGAGAAGCTCCAAATCAGTGCCCTACTCTGAGGGGTGGTGGAAGGACCTGGGCGCTCTGTGCATTGTTCAGCTGCAGCCCTCTGGTCGATTGGCATGGGCACAGCTCCAAAGCAGCTGCAGCTCTGTTCTGTTTTCCTGGGGCTAGGGGACACAGAAGGGGACATGGAGAGGAGGGGGGAAGGCAAATATATTGTGTGTGTCTGGGCGGGGTGGAGGAGGGGAGTTGCATTGACCAATTGTCCTCTGATCAATAGGAAATTCATTAATTCATCTGCCCTCCAGACATCTTGTGTTTTATTAGGAATATTTGTAAGCTGTTATTTCCAGAAGGGTCTTTGCGAAAGTAATCTTTCCTCCCTTTTAGATTATAAATGCCAGGGCACTCTCTGGGTGGTTTGTGTGGTTTTCTCTTTTAATGGGAAGACAAATTAATAAATCTCCACTTCTGTCTGTAAGATATTGCACCCTTGAGGGAACATTGACTCTTGTGTGCTATCAAGAAAGTTTTGATGTCTTTTGCAGTGCTGTTGTCTCTAACATAAGGATAAACCTTTTAGGATAGGAGGGGATATGAGGGTAATAAAGCAACAGTTGTCATTTTGACATCAAAGTTTAATCGGTAAGATTTAACCCTTGCTCAACGGGGACCTGTGACTGGAACAGTATCTGTTCACTATAGCAGCACAAATTATCAGTTGTATTTAAATGTTAAAACACTTCAATTTTTACAAAATTATAACTTTAAAACAGTTGCACATATCTGTATTAACTCCCTGAAGATATTTGCCCATGTTCAGAAATGGAGGGACTTGTAAAGACCCAGTGCTGATGCCCGGCAAGCCTATAACAGAGCACTTGCTTATTTTTTGTGTGAAAATGGAGCACTGTTGGGGAACCTTTTGCTTGTTCTATTAATGAGAAGAGGTCACATGGTGAACATATGAAATTTATTTGCCTACTCTTCTTTAATGAAATACTAATTGTCTTGTTGAAACTCTGAGTTATAGTAAACCCAGAATCTAGTAGGCAACATGACACCTTCTCCTTTCATGTCTCCATTACACCTGGTGTGTTGCATAAGAATGAGAAATGCTCTTTTGGATGCTGACTACTCTTTCAGTGGATGCATAATTCTAGATATTTGTTGAGTGAAGCCACTGTGCCCTGAATACACAGGTGCAGTGTGAGAGAAAACCCTATTCTTTTCCTTTCTCATGTGCAGAATAGGAACTCAATGGATGCTGGATAAATCTGTTTTGAGGAAACATGATTTATGGATAAAACTATTTAAAATAAACATGGTTTGTGGGTTACACTTGGTTTAGTTCTTGTAGCATGATCCATGAGAATGTTTCTTTGGAGCCTCAGCCAGCACTTGATTTATGCTGTTTGCTACCGTTTTGAGAGGGAGCATGTCATGAAGTCAGCTATTGCACAGTGAAGAGCCATAGCTCAAAGATCCCTGAAATCACAAGGACAGGATGCGTGCCACAGTTTTCAATACGCAACCAATCTTTAATGCAGACATTAATGAACTTTTAGATGGATAAAGTGGCACTGAAAATGCTGGTTTCCCAACACAAAGAAAAATCTTTTACTTTACATGGGCGTATTGAGAATAGAGTATTTATATGAAAAAGTTCCAGAGTGCAATCTACAGTGGTCATGTTTGTTTTAACAAAGAATGTGGTTTGCTAACTTCACTTTAACCTGGTTAGTCTATGTACAATTTGAGTTGAAAAGATTATTATTTTTTTTCATAAAACTTGTTGGTTTGGGGTTTTCAACTGAGAGTAATGTGCTTGTCTTTCCTGGCAGAAGGATGGCAGTAAATACACTACTCACAGAAGTATCAGCATCAATATAAGGACCTCAGACGAGTAGGTGCAAGCATGCCATAGCTAAGTTTAATGACTTCCCTCTGACAAAGCACTCAAACAGCATACGCAGATGTGTACTGCCTGGCTTGACTTTGAGTTTAATCACTCTTTCTTTTGAAAATCCTATCCTAAAAGAGATTGGTAGAGTCCAGAGACGAATGGTGGAAACTTTTCACTCTTTCAAATTTTGTGAGAACAAGAAAGGATTGAGGCATCTGAAGATATTTAGAACATTTCTAGATTGACTTTTTTACCAGCAAAAGCAAGATATATTTATCTCCTGAATCGATACATCATGCTATTCATATTGAGTTCAAATAAAAAGAAATATTTATTACTAGAACTGGAATCTTGCAGAAGGGTTTACTTGTTATTTTAAGTGGAGTTTCAAAAGACAGGAAAGTGTACCAAATAATCAAGAAAGCTCCACACCACTGGATAACCGTAATTCCTTGCATAAATACATGATTGTACTGTACATTGTACTGTATTAGTGCATTTGTTTTTCTTTATCCAGGAGCCCAAACTACTTGGAATAAAGGAGGAGAAAGGTAAGAGTGTTCATTTTTAGTACCAATGCTGGTGTTAATTTAGCTTCATATTTGGCATTTCATTATGACAGCTTACACGGCTTAATTTTCAAGTAACAGGAGAAGGGATCTTAAAATAAATGCTTTCCACCTCTGTGTTTGGGGCCATGCAATGGCACATACCTATTTTGAAACACCTTCTTTCATACAGAACTGCAGAACCTGTATGTCAAGTCAGTGGAAGTGCTCGTGGCATGGAAAGCATTTGTTAGGGATGCTTTGATATTTAGGCTAAAACTTCAATACAGCCACGTTCTCTGTATTGTGGACTGTGAGCGGATAAATCTGGGCAGCTGAGGAATATGGCTGGAAATGCATGAGGCAATCCTGCAAGCTTTCAGTGGACTTTCTTAAGTGAAAGTGTGACTCTCTTGTGTGCTGCATTCTTCATGCTCTTTCCCATTGGCAAAAAGACTATTCGTATCAGTGAATGCTGTTGGTAGAACACCACTATTCAATCAGAGAAATCAGGACCTCTGTTTTCAAATTACCTTTTCTTAAGTTTCACTGCACCTTTGATCTTTTCTGAAAGGCATTCCTTACCCTGATTCCCAGTTCTGATATAAAGATTTTTGCAGAGCCCTTGCTTCTAGGCTTGGAGACTTTGAAAGCAAGTTCAGGCACTGACACATATTATTCTTGCCTTAGGAGATGGCTTTGACATAACTTTTTTTTTTTTGAGAGCTAGGATTTTATAAAGAGGATTTTTAAAAAATCAAACCTAAAAAAGGCCTTTGTTTTTAACCCTTCTCCCACAAATGAAGGTGTTCTGTGACTTTCTTCCTCGTTTTCTGCTTCAACAGTTATTTTAGTATTTTTGCAGCAGGGTTGTATTCTGAAGATGGTATCTAAATAATATCGTTGGCCTCTCATGAGCTGTCTTTTCAGTTTTATGAGGAGTAAAACTGTTATTAAAAATTAATTCAAATTCACTAATGATATGACAATGAAAAGATAGAGGCAGCTCCCCACAGGGGAAGAAATGGCCATCTTTTTCAGCCCACAATACTATTAGGTTTTGTAAGCTGCAGGCAGCTGGAGGAATTCAAATCGGGCATTCTTTGTTTTTTTTCCACAATATATACAATACCAATGATATATTTACATATGAACTGTACGAGAATTATGGATGTGCGTACTTTTTTAAGTGTTGTTTAACTGTTGTTCCAAAATACATTTCAGCTTGCTACAAATATGTTTTTTGAAGTTATTAGTATGTCTGCAGACAAATAGGACATTTTGTGAATTAAATTTACCAAAAAATAGAAATCCCTTCATGAAGGCTTTACATAATTAAATGCTAAAACCTGTCGGAAGAAAAGGCAGACTTTATTTTCCCGTGGACTTCATCCTAGAGAAGCTGACCTTGATTTTTGGTTTTGCTGCAAAAGATAATTTTTAATTCTATTTTCTCCCTCTTGTTACAGGGTATTGGAGAAATGCTCACTTTTATCTGGCCTGGACCAAATGACCTTGTAAAAGCTCCAAGAAAGTGCTCTTTTATCACTGTGATTTTTTTTCTTACCCTGACTTCAGCTTCACACCCAATTCATGAGCAATCTGCAGAGACTCCTTTCTAGCTGTCATTCTTCGCGCATATTTGATGTGGCTGATTATGGAAGTCCTATTTAATTTTTAATAAGAGAATGTGTGTGTGGGGATTTATATAAATTGTTTTGCCTCTTGCAGAATGTAATTATCCCAGCCTTTGGGATCTCAGAAAAAGCAAACATCAGTGGCTGCAGAAGCTGCAATAATATCTGTGTTTACTTACTACTCTATATCCAGCCAAAACTGTCTCGGAGACTCAAACTAAAAAAGCAGGTAGAAGGTTTTCTTTTGGGATAGGAGAAGTGTTTTTTTTGTTTTGTGTTATTGGAGATTTTATGGAATTGTTTTACCATTGTATTCAACAGCAGATATTCAAGAGAAAATGTGTGTATTGTAGACAGGATCTTTCAAATATGTTCTTAAAAAAAATACAACACATGAAAGAAATAAAACTTGACATAACACTGAAATTTATTCAATTTCTCTCACATCTTCTATGATACGATATACCAGTTTTTCACTTTTTGCCTGTTTTACCTTTGTAACCTCTGTTACATGAGTGGGGAAAGCTACTCCAAGGTTAGCTTTAGTTTCTTACTTTTTTTTTTGTCCCTCTAGTCTAATGGAATTTAATTTATATCTGTTTCTGCAGGAGACAACATTTTAATGATTTCCAAAAGTCAGATGCATGACCAAGATATTTCTAATGGAAATGAAGGATCCGCACAACATGTTACATAAACCATGCAGATGAGATTAGTTGCAGCATTTATAAGTATATCTTAGGCAAAGTTAAAGGTTTTCTGAGCATTTTTTTTTCAGTGTGCAGGCATGACACAATGTTTTTTCATAACACTTGCAATATGGAAACTTTATGATTGATCACATGAAATTTTCTTTTGAACCATGATTGTTGCTACGTTTCCTTTTGCCTCTGGGACTTTCTGCAGTTGCCCTGAGCTCTTTTTCCCCTCAAAGAATTGGTCAAATCATTTATTCTATTAGCTAGCTGATGTTAATAGGAAATACTGGATATCTTGGTAATGCTCTGTGGTTTACCCATTTTTAGAGTATCTGACACTTGGAAAAATCTATGGGGAGACTTTTACATACCTATGCAATGGCACTGTATTGCAGGTGGTACTTGGCTGTGCTAGCAGACTGCTGCTTTGGAAATGAAATTCACATCTCCCTCCAAGGACTCTCTCACCCAACCTCCTTCAGTAGTTATCAGGGCTGGGCTAAACATCTGCAGAGTGGGATATATGTAAATGCACGCACATATATTTTAAAGGAAATTTCTTTGCTTTAATCAGATCCTTGTGTTGTATTCTAATGAGACTAAGACTTGTAGGTCGTCTTTTTGAAGCAGAGAACCTGCAGCCTGTCTGCACTTGATGTACGATAACCCTAGACCCTGCTAACAAAGGCTGAGTGGGAGGGAAAGTCACAATGGTCACTGACAAGTTAAAATTCAGTGTGATCATGTTGCTGTTTCTAGATATAAAAAAAAAAAACAAACAACAAAACAAAAACAAAAAAAAAAAACAAAAAACAACAACAACAAAAAAAAACACAAAAAACAAACAAAAAAATACTTAAAAACCAAAACCCAACTTTTTGTTAATCTGCTACTTCCACATTCAGGAACAGTAATGGCAAATCACCCTGAGTAACCTCTTCCATTAAGCTTGTCTACTTTCATCTAGTTGTCTTCAAAGATGAAGCTTGATCATAATCTTCAAAGTGCTTCCACTTATCCAGCATTTCAATCTGTTATTTGAAATGCTCTCTACAAACTATTTCAGACATTAACTATTCCAGCCCTTTTTAATGGCAAAGTATCTGAATTTTTCCTTTCCTATCTTTCTGAACAGAACAAACAAATCTATATGAACAGTGGCCCAGGAAGTGTGTTTAAGAGCCAAGGCCTGCAACAGAGATGATAAGAAGTTATAGCATCCACAAATTGATGTTAGCAGGATGTCTGGGAAATGCTGTTCTTATCCTGTTGGAAAGCTTCCAGTATCTCAGAATTACCACTTCCCCACACACACATCCTGCAAAAATTTAAGCTTGAAGGCTTGACATCTCTTTAAAGGGGCTATAATGAAATGAATTGGTGATAGACTGGGGAAATGGCTTCATGGCTATCAAGACTTAGCAACCAATATTTCAGTATGTTTGCTATCTACCTGTTAGAGTAAAATTTTGACAAAGGTTTTCAAATAAAATGAGTTCCTCTAGTTATAATTTACACCAACCAAAATAATTACCTAGTATGCAGTGGCATAAAACCAGATGTTCTTACTATATAACAGTAAATGGAGGGTTTTTTATTGTTTTGAAAATTGTTGTTTTCTCAATGTAATCTGCACTGATGATCTCCTTGCTATTTCAGAAACAAACCTTCCAACAGAGAGTGGTATGGGGCTGGAAGTTACGAAAGGAAACCCCTTTGCTTTTTCATTGCGGAGACAAAATTGTTTTAACAGACTGACTAAAGCATTATAATCAGCTATTCTGAATTCCAATATAAATTGACAGCAAGATTCCTACATTTAGATTTTGTAGTCTGCCTAAATCAGAAACTACCTCCCTGTGAAGAAATGCAATATTCATGTAGGGACTTACAAGATTGATTCTCTATTATGTATCTAAAAGTTTCAATGGCTTAACTGTCCCTGCTTTTAAAAATATCTGCCTGACTCCTAGTTCAAACTTGACAATTTTCAGGTAGCTTTTACTGAATTTTCTTAACCACTTACCTGGTAAATTAAAAAGTTTTATGCACTTGGATCTCCTTATTTTGTTTCAATATTTGTATATTTGGACAACTTCATTCAATTTGCAGTCGTGTCAGCTTTTATTCTTAAAAATAGCTCAGATTTACAGAAAGCCTTAGATATGATAGTATTTGGTATAAGTGTATTTTTTTTTGGTATGTGCTGCACTACTCAGACACTGAGGCAGAATATTGCTAGCTAGAAAGTCTAGAAAGGGACTCAAATACATAACTTATATTTTATGGTACTCGTCTAAGTTCACTTCACACCTCTGATTCAGGAAATCCAAATCTCAGTCTCCTGTGTTGGAGAATATCTTAACTACTGGGCTCTTTAGGTTAGCTCTCAGCACCTAGGCTGTTATGGCCTTCTGTTTTACGCAAAAGAATAGAAACTCATGTGAAGCGAGAAGGCATGTGGTTTTATCTAGCCCAAGAGCTGAATGTTCCTATTGTGGCCCATGCCATGACTCTTACTCCCTTTGTAGTCTTTCCTAACAGCTTCCTCATATACGGCACTCACTCCCTTACACTTCCATATATTTATTTTCTCTAGTCCTGCTCCTGGCAGAAATAACTTTTGTTCCCTCTGTTAAGCATTCCTTCTCCTTTCCCTTCAGTCATGCCCCTGTCTTGTTAAATTGCTCTACTTCACCAGCTGAATTGAATTGGGTGCCTGTAATCCATGGATTTTTCTTTGGCACTCTTTCCTCCTTCATCAACAAACTCTCTGCTTATCTTATTGAAGAAAGAATGGAAAAAATACTATTGATATTTGCTGCTTCACCTTAACTTTTTTCTTTTGCAGTTGTTTTTCTCTCCTATCTGGGAGGCAGATGTGTTTTCCTGACACATTTCTATGTCCCCTACTCCCCTACTTGTCCCATCCTTTCCTATCTTGGTATAGGTGGGCACTGGGAAGAGCATTGCCAGTGGTGGGGTGAGAGGTGATCCTTCCCCTCTACTTCGCACTGGTGAAACATATCTGGATTGCTGGATCCAGTTCTGGGTTCCCCAGTACGAGATGTGAACATGTTGGAGAGAGTTCAGCAAAAGGGCAAGAAGATGAAGGGACTGAATCATCTTTGGGAGGAGGGCAGACTGAGAGAGCTGTGCCTGTTGAGCCTGGAGAATATGACTCAGAAGAATCTTATCCATGTAGGTAAATATTGGAAGAGGGGGAGTAAAGGATTTGGAGCCAGTCTCTTCTTGGTGCCCACTGAGAGTACAAAAGGCAATGGACAGAAGTTACAATGCAGAAAATTCTGTCTAAACACACAACCCCCCCTTTTTTTTTGTACTGTGAGGGTTATGAGGCACTGGCACAGGCTGCCCAGAGAGGCTGCTGAGTCCCATCCTTGAAGATATTCAAAACCAAACTGGACAGTAGTGAGCAACCTACTGTAGGTAACCCTGCTCTGAGCAGGGAGATTGAAATAGGTGACCTCCAGAGATGCTTGTGAACCTCACCTGTCCTGCCATGGTCTCCCAATATCCATAGTTATTTTCATTTTCTGCTATCTCCAGCCTGCATTTTCCATTCTCAGCTCACAGCCAAAGAAAGAGTTATTGCTTCATCCTGCAGACATAAACCAAAATTTTTGCACTCCAATTAACTTTAACTGCTTCCCATCCTTTCTTTTTTTAATTTATTTTGCAGCTTTTTTACAATATTTCTACACTTTTAAATATTTTTTAATAAGTTGTTTTATCTCAAATTATTTCTTTTTGTCTAAATCTTAGAGCTGATCCTGTCTTCACTCTCCTTTCTTGTTAGCAACAACCAGTCTTGGCCCTCTTGAGCTCTGCCGATGGTAGCTCTCCTCTCTGTCTGCTGTCTGCTTGCTCCCCTAGGCAACTATGGATAGCTCTGCAGGACCCTTAATGCTATCTTAAGTGCATCTGAGGTCTGAACTGCTCATTTTCCTCCCTCAGCTGTGGAGGAGGAACCTGTAAGTGTCTCATGTTATCTGGAATAAATGCCTTCTCTTGTCCTCACCTTAAAGGAGTCAACTCAGTCTCAGTGACCATGGGCAGGCATTCAACAGATGCTGATACTGTTAGTAGAGGGCAAGCATTTGCTGTGACTGGGTAGAAATGCAAACTTGAAGATGAGAGAAAATTCACTTGGGCTTCTCCAATATCTCATTAAAGGCTTTCTAAATTTCAAACTATTCTAGGGATCCCATCTGAACACTTTCCAGTCTGCTCTCATTAAAAAAGGGTGGGGTTTTTTCTTACCATCACTAATTCAGTTTTTATTTCCCTTACAGGCTACATTCCCTATTCCTAGCTGTTTGATCTTTGCACCTAGCTCTTTAATTAAAAGAAGGAAAGCCCAGATTTTCCTGCTGTCTGAGCCTCTCTCTAGAAGCTATCTTTGTCTCTCATTCAGTCAGTGCCAACCACAAGCTTGCCTTCCCTCCCCATCCATGAACTCCCCTGAACTACATTTGGATAAGCCTACCAGAAATGTTATTTTTGAAAGATCATTCCCATTTAGAATTTTTTTAAATATCTCTACTAATTTTTTTATTTGCTTACCTTGACTTTGAAGTTTGAATAGTTCTTTTTTTTTCTTTTTTTAATGAGAAAGATATATGGCCTCATATAACTTTGTTATTTTAACACATTTTGTCAGTCTAGTAATCCTACCAAAAATGCAACTTATTTGTCTTTAAAGTTTTATCTTTCAGTAGACCATGAGGTCTGGTATTAATTAGGCTGTTCATCCTTAATTCTTTATTGAGCGCATCCTATTTTGGCTTCCTGAGATTTTGCCCTGGGTAAGCATTAAATTGACAGACCTATAGTTACATTTTCAGCACATTATCCCTTGTAAATATTGAAAAATTTGTTTACTGTCTTCTCTGTTCAATCTTTTGGACATTCACCATATCTCAAAGGACTTACCCAGAATCCTATATTGAAAACATCGGTTTAACAACCTCATCCGTCGATAGCCTAGAGCCAGCGACCCAAGTTTTCTGCTTTGTTGACATTTAGTATCCCTCTGCATTAGTTAAAGAATAAAAAAATAAATGTTTTCCTATTCTAATCTGGTAAGAGTAACCAGTCTGTTTCTCAGATGAATAAGAATCAATTTTATTGCCAGAACCATTTTGCACTTTTGCCTCCTCTTTGGCACAGTGTTTGTTATTGACCTAATCTGTGGGGGTGGCAGATTTTTTGCTGGTGCTCCTTGTCTTGAATACTTTGGTCTCTGCCTGGAGTGGGGTGTTTCACTGGAGGCACACATGTAGTAGCAGTAGTCCCCAGAATCATAGAATCACAGAAAAGTTTGGTTTGGAAGGGACCTTCGAAGGTCATTCTGTCTAACCCCCCCTGCAATGGGCAGGAGCATAGAATCATAGAATAGTTAGGGTTGGAAAGGACCTTAAGATCATCGAGTTCCAACCCCTCTGCCACGGGCAAGGACACCTCACACTAAATCATGTCAGTCAAGGCTTTGTCCAGCCTGGCCTTGAACACTGCCAGGGATGGAGCATTCACAACCTCCCAGGGCAACCCATTCCAGTGCCTCACCACCCTAACAGGAAAGAATTTCCTCCTTATATCCAATCTAAACTTCCCCTGTTTAAGTTTTAACCCGTTACCCCTTGTTCTGTCACTACAGTCCCTAATGAAGAGTCCCTCCCCAGCATCCCTATTGGCCCCCTTCAGATACTGGAAGGCTGCTATGAGGTCTCCACGCAGCCTTCTCTTCTCCAGGATGAACAGCCCCAACTTTCTCAGCCTATCTTCATACAGGAGGTGCTCCAGTCCCCTGATCATCCTCGTGGCCCTTCTCTGGACTTGTTCCAACAGTTCCATGTCCTTTTTCTGTTGAGGACACCAGAACTGCACACAATACTCCAGGTGAGCCCTCGCAAGAGCAGAGTAGAGGGGCAGGATCACCTCCTTTGACCTGCTGGTCACGCTCCTTTTAATGTAGCCCAGGCTACGGTTGGCTTTCTGGGCTTCAAGCGCACACTGATGCCGGCTCATGTTCATTTTCTCATTGACCAACACCCCCAAGTCCTTCTCTGCAGGGTTGCTCTGAATCTCTTCTCTGCCCAACCTGTAGCTGTGCCTGGGATTGCTCCCACCCAGGTGTAGGACCTTGCACTTGTCATGGTTAAACTTCATGAGGTTGGCATCAGCCCACCTCACAAGCGTGTCGAGGTCCCTCTGGATGGCATTCCTTCCCTCCAGCGTATCAACCAAACCACACAGCTTGGTGTCATCGGCGAACTTGCACTGAATCCCACTGTCCATGTCACATCACATGCATCTTCAACTAGATCATGTTGCCCAGAACCACATCCAGCCTGGCCTTGAACGTCTCCAGGGATGACACATCCACCACCTCTCTGAGCAACCTGTGCCAGTATTTTACCCCCCTCATTGTGAAGAATTTTTTTCTTACATCCAGCCTCAATCTCCCCTCTTTTAGTTTAAAACCATCACTCCTCGTCCTACCACAATAGGCCCTGCTAAAGAGTCTCTCCCTATCTTTCTCATAGGCCCTTTTAAAGAACTGGAAAGCAGCAATAATATCTCTCCAGAGCCTTCTCTTCTCCCGGGTGAACAACCCCAGCTCTCTCAGCCTTCTCTCATCGGAGAGGTATTCCATTCCTCTGACCATTTTTGTGGTCCTCCTCTGGAGCCCCTCAATAGCTTCATGTCTTCCCACTGCCAGTCGTTTCCCATCTAATCTTAGGTTACAAATGTTCCCAGAGGCTCTGTTTTCACAAGCCATGTCTAGTGACTGCTGGACAAGCCAAGTATCTCATTTTTGTAAAATCTGATCTTCACAGCAAATCAGACTTTAATAGCCACCCTTCATATTTACTCCACCAAGGAAAGGTAAAGTCTTGGATTTCAAAAATGAAAATGAAGTTATAAAACCAGGAAAATAACAAATACAATCTTGGTGTATCCCTGATAGCAAAGCTTTCATCTGTCACTTCAATATTTTGAAGTATTTGAAGTGTTTGGCCCAGCAGCCAAGAGGAAATCATCCAGATCTACTCTTCAATACCACCCTGTCAGTTACAGCCAGAAGTGTTCTGGTTTGTTCAATTGCTTTTGTTCAATACAAAAACAGAAAAAAAAAGCATTTCTCACCTTGAGAATCTACAATTTCCTCCTTAATGCCGAGTACCCTATGCTATTTCAGTTTTGCTTTGCTTTTGTGGAGACTTTATTATTGATTCTCTCTCTCTCACTTTTTTTTTTTAAGGATACAAAAAGCTTGTTGGAAAGCTCATCTCATGTCTTAATTTGTAATTGTTTTGTTGATCTACACAACTGAATTACTTCCTTCTTCTTCATGTAGAGTGTGGGAAACAGATGTTGTGCTGTTGTAGGACATCCTGAAGGTCAGCAATTGCTAGCACAACAAAGCAGAGACTAAGGCATCCTATCGTAGAAACTGGACTACTCCTCCTTATTCACGTACCTGATCCAACCCCATTTAAAAAATCAAAAGGATTTAAACTAATCTGGACCTTTTACTGGAGGTTAAGGTAAGTGAATTTCAGCTGCAAAGCTGTAATATCTGAGGAAGTTTCTTACATAAATTTAATCTCTTTTGTCGAATTTATTTTTAACCTGAATAAAATAACAAACAAACAAAAAAGTCACAAAACCAAACAAACAACAAAAAATTAAACCTCTTTTTTTCTTTTTCACTTTGTCCTTCATTTGCCCCCCAAAAAAGAAGACATTATTAAATTTGATAGGCTGGAATTTTGGGGGGGCTTGGTTTTTGTTTTACAAGACTTCTCAGAAGTTTTGCAGATCCTGGTCACACTGGATCAATTCTGGTGAATTTTCCGTTCTCTTGAGCTTTTATGTTTTCATCTGTGAGATCAAAACTTGAAAAACCAATTGCTTTACTCTTTAAATCAATGTCTTTCTTGTCTCTCTTTCAAAAAAAAAAAAAAAAAAAGACTGTATAAAGCAATGATTCATTGTGCTTTCTCTGTTTAATCTGTGAAAATGCATTGCTTGCTCTTTGTACCCTGCCAATTGTCTCCAGCAGAAAGAAATTGAAGATACTGGAACTGAAATATGTTAAACTGATAAGAAACCCAACCATAAAGATAAAATAATTTAATAAACAGATTCAATGTAATTATTGCCTTAGAAGATGCAGCTCCTTTTGATTCAAGTGGGATAAGCCAGCACTTGGGTCTTTTGCAGCTTAACTCTCTGGTATCACAAAACGGATATACAAAATGGGCAGCTTGTATGGACTTGGGTGTATGGGCTCATGGACAAGTACTGAAAACAACTCCTACCGTATTAGCATTTTGCAAAATCTATGATTCATAGATGATATCTTTCTTACTGTGCCTATTTTCTATTTAATATAGGCAATGGTAATCTTCATAGCAGCTTTTTAATGTGAGACAGGATAAACTGAAAAGGCAGGTGAAATCCAAATATCGCAGTAGTACAAATGGACCTCAGGTTTGTAGTTTTCATGCGAAGAGGAGAAATGAACACAATTTGGTCCTGCAGGAACAGGTTATTTTCTATTCCAAGGAGTGTGTTTACTGAGGGAAGAATTCAGTTTTCTGAACTGTCTGGAAAGCAGATTTGTGGAGCCGTCTGGCAGGGAAACTTTGACACCTAAGATGAATCAGCCTCTGAGGATCTCTCTTTTTGCTGTCTATGAAAAGAACACAAATGATCGCCACAGACTATGTTCCTAATTTTGGGGTGATGTGAATCCCAGCTATAACAGCCTAACCACCGAGAAAAGTGATCTACTTGCAGCATACTCCCATAGTTTCAACTCTATATGTAGTCCTAGGACCTTCTTAGAAAATTGCTTTCACAAATAAACACAAAGATTTTCTACAAGGTTGCAGTACTCCACTCTTCAATCTGTCAGTTATCAAAAATCAGCCCTTTAAGCAAATATAGGGACCACAGATTAAAGTGGAAGGCTTGGTACTCACTGATATCTATTAGCTGAAATTATATGATGGTATTTGTGGCACTCTAAATTTAAGGGTTGTTAAAGGGTCAACTGAGATTAGAAGCCCATTGTGTGAGCACATAGTGCTGTGTGTTGCTGCTCACTGAATGTACCTGACACAAAAAGGCTTTGTGTAAACAGACAAGACAGGGGGAAGGTGAAAGAGGAATATAATATGTGAACAGAGCGATGGCTGGCAAACAACAAATGAATTCTCAGACATATTTTTTAATTATTTAATTCCTTGGGAGTTCGTTAGAGAGGATTAACTAAACAAAGGAAATAAAAGAAGGTGAAGAGGCACCTGGGGTATAAGAAACATGTTTATTGTGGGACAGAAGAGAGCAGAGGAGCCTGTATCTGAAGTGAAAGGACTTTGGAGGCAGCATGTGAGCGACCAGCCTTTTGGCTGGTTTTGTGGTCCAAGAAGGTGGCATCTCCCTAGAACTGCTTTCCATCAAGTCCGCGTTGCTTAAGGGATAGAAAGAAATTACTCTGAGCACAATATACATTGAGAGAAATGGCTTAGTGAGTCCCGATTGTGTTAGTTGGAGAGGCGCTACTCAGCAGCTTGGGACTGTGATTACTCAGAGGGAGTTCTGACTGTGGCTAGCTGTCATCTTTCTCTTTCTTCCCTTTCTATGGCCTGCAGAGATGCCTTTCCCACTGATGGGCTTTCATTCACATCCCAACTAGAAAGTATCTAGGCAGGGTCAGGACTTGAGAAGATGATGCGTTATGACTTTATTGTTCCTATTGTTTAGATTGGACATAAGGAGGAAATTCTTTCCTGTTAGGGTGGTGAGGCACTGAATGGGTTGCCCAAGGAAGTTGTGAATGCTCCATCCCTGGCAGTGTTCAAGGCCAGGTTGGACAAAGCCTTGGGTGACACGGTTTAGTGTGAGGTGTCCCTGCCCATGGCAGGGGGGTTGGAACTAGATGATCTTAAGGTCCTTTCCAACCCTAACTATTCTATGATTCTAAGATTCTAAAACACACTTTTCATCCCTGAGCCACCTTGTTTCACTCTGCTGCTGTTTGTCAGGCATCTGTTTGAAGAGGACAACACCATGCATAAATAGCAGTACTGAGGGTTTTGTCACTTAATACACTATTTCATCTTAAAGGCAATATGGGCCACAGAGACATCTAAGATGGCTTGAATCTGACGCATTTTAAAGAAATACTTATGGTCATATCATAAAGAGGGATAAATCAGCATAGCCTCCATGAAACTGGGTCCTTTAAATTGCACATGAATTACATATCTCAGTACAAGCAACCCTGAGCAGCTGAGTTTCACGCATTGTGAAGGAGCTGCATAGCTGGCTCTGGGCAGGCTGAGGTGGAATTGCAGACACCCCCTATGGCAGATTGCACTGGGAATCCTTTCAGCAAGCTGCAACCTATTGCTACCATACCTCCTTGCACCCAACTCCTAAGAATACCAACTGTGCATCTGCCATGGGTGCCAAAGCAGTGCAACCATGCACATCACTAAAGGAGACAGATAGCAGAGATACCCAGGAGGGTCAGAGATGTGCCAAGCCATTGCCTGATCTTCATTACAGCTAAAGCCCACAGATGAAGGCAGAACCAGCCTGACTGTCTTTAATTGCAAAAGCACATTAACTGCAGAGCTGTGAAGCTGAAGACTTGGCTGTTATGTTCAACCCTTCCACATGTCAGGGAAAAAGGCCAGTAGTGTTATGTGCTGATAGCTCCCAGTAGTGACAAGTTAGTCTTTCCCTTGCTAATGGATCTATGAAGTTTTTCTACTTTAATAAGGTACAGTGAGCCTGTTAAAGGTGGTCTTCTGTACCAAAGCCTATTCAAAGAGGTTCCACAAATATTTTGTCCAACTATTTCTCTAAGATCCCAGCAAATGGTTAATCATACATTCACCAAATGTTGCATTCCTCAGATGTTAAGGGGACAGTAAAAGTCTACCATAAGTTTCATAACCAGCTTCTGTACTGAGTATCCAGCAGTCTCACTTTCTTTGTTACCTGTCCTTGCATGTGTATGGACCAGACCCAGCCCGTTCTGGGGTACTTCTGTCTGTTGCCAGGAATAGATCATGCTGGAATTTATTAATCCACTTTGCTCAGCACTACCAGCCCGGCCAGCACTGCAGCATTAGTTCTGTTCTCTCAGTATTTCTACACTTATTTGATGATTACATCTGAGCAGCAGGGACTGGTGAGTCATGAAAGGGTATAAATTCCAGGCTCTGTTGAAATGTTAAAAAGGTGGTAAATGCAGGATACATGAACTGTTAAAATCTTCTACAGTTGGGAAAGCAGTATGCTATGAACAGGATTTATTTTCAATATATTACAAATTTCTTGAGTATTTTGCTGATAAATATCACAAGGGGCTGTATACTTACTGTGCTGTAATTAAAATGAATGATTCAAAAATGCCTGCCCCAGGCTGACAGTAATGATAGTGGAAACAGGTGAGGAAAATAAAAGTTAATGAAACTGGGCCAGAGTTAAGAGATGTCACAAAACTGACTTTGTTCTATATGTGCACAAGTTTCATTTGGAAATATTTAATAGTAAGCGTATAACTATTATTACACTCATAAATTAATCTCTGCTGATAGTTCATTATTGGCTACTCAGAGTCAGTTTAACACCAAGCACACAGCTTGCCAAAACCTTTCAGCTAAGGGGCAACAATCTTCAAAAGATGACAATGACAAATATCCCACACATTTAATCCAAAAGGTCTTTGGATGCAGCTCTGTGATCTTTGAAGGAGCACCTCAAGACAGCTTTTTGGTAGAAGTGCAGGCCTGGATGCCCCACAGGGCTTCCCCCATAGTGCAGGAGAGGCTGTGCATTCAAGTGTGCCTATGGCACTGGTGTGAAGTCTGTTGCCAGCCCTTTCTGCCATCGGGGTGGCTGGAAGGCATCCATGACTGGGAACTGAGCAAGTCAGGGAGCACTGTATGTTCCTGCCTGCTCTTAAAAAAAAAAACCACAAAAAAAGACAAAACAAAGAACCCAAACAAAAACCAAGAATAAAACCAGCAACAACAGCAAAAAGTGCTGATCCAGTCTTTGGGCAGGGATTAACTTTAATTCCTAATTTGATCACCAGCACAAGAAAAAGGCTTAGTTGTCTTTTTTGCAGGGTTGCGCAAAAATGCAAAAGCACAGCAGAATACAGAATTCTGTCTTAAAACTGTGAAAGAGAGGCACCGGATGTATGACCAAGGAAACCTGCCTGAAAACATCTTTGCCGTGGGGTAGAACAGCCAACCAGGAAAACAAATAATTAAAAAAAATCCAACCAACCAAACCAAAACACAAAACCAAACCAAACCAAACCAAACCCCAAAGAAAAAATAAACCCCAAAAACCTACAAAAAAACCAACCCCAAGACAAAAACAAAACCAAAACAAAAAACACTAAAAAAAACCCAAACAGAAAAAAAAAAACAAAACCCTAACGAAACATAAAAGCTCATTTGATTAGTTACAATAATTAGGGTGTAAAAACACCTGAAATTATGAAATAAGAAGATTCATATCTTGTATGGTCTAAATAAAATTCTTAGAAGAAACAAATGCACTTTCAACTTAATGATAGCATGAGAAGGAGATCATGAAGAAGTTTACTCAATTTATGAAGGAAATCCTGAAAGCAAGCAAAGAACTGAAAGTCATAAGAAGATAAAGGAAAGAGAAAGGAGACAACATGTACAGGTAGACAGAGATGGAAATTAAGTGCTAGTCAAGCCCTTAATAGCATGATCTACAAGCAGGACTGAGGTGTGATATACAGCTCAGAGCTATTGCAAATCTTTCTTCCATGCCCCTGGGAGATAAAACTTCATTCCAAGGTGCATCTTTGGAAGAAGTCTTGTAAAAATGATTGTGCTAAAAGGAAGTTAGTCAAAAAGCCTATACACTTTCAGAAAGCATTTATCCATCTTGTTTTATTGACCCATAGCATCAACTAGCAAAAGTGCAGTCATTTACCAAGTACTGTGATACAGCTTTAAAATGCTGCAGAAAGCTTTACAAAATCTACTGATTTCTATATGACTTACGGGAGGACAAAAGCCAAAAAATAATGGAAGAAGGAAATACCTGGAAGAGATAGAACCAGCACTTATATTGGTAGCAAAGGATTGATACCCAGTGTATGGTATGGAAAGTATATCGCTAAGATGGGACAATGAAACAGAGGGATTTTTCTCTAAGGAAAAAAAAGCTTTAATGTCCTCATCTGCTTTTACTAGTGTGTCACTCCATATACCAACTGTGTTGTAGAACAATAAAGAACAAGCTACAGGACTTACTAGTTCTAGTGAATTGTGATGACATCCACAAATCCTAGTTTGATGACATGAATTATCTTCATTTCTTCACTCCATAACAGACATACATACACACAAAGGGGATGGAGTTGCTTTAATACGATCAAGTAAAGCAGCAGTGAAAACAAAAGTGAGGACTATAAGGCATGAAATAGGTAATATACTGGTAGGAAAACAAGTAACAAATGCCTTATACTTACCATGAAAGAGAAAAAGGTAAATAAAAAGAATTTACTGATTTGACATGACTCCAATAACGTGAAGCTCAGCTTAAGGTAATGATACCGAGCAACACCCCTAGATATGCTTTTTTAAATTTTAAATGATGTTTGGAAGCCCATCTGTCTTTGTTGGCTGCAGAAGGAGGCTCCTGGAATTAGCTCAGCTTTAGATGTCCAGTGCTGGATGGTGAAAACAGGCTGTTTTGGATCCCTTGAAAATTGAGGGGCAGGCAGTGTGCACTTGAAGCCCAGAAAGCCAACCATATCCTGGGCTGCATCAAAAGGAGCGTGACCACCAGGTCAAAGGAGGTGATCCTGCCCCTCTACTCTGCTCTTGTGAAACCTCATCTACAGTATTGTGTGCGGTTCTGGTGTCCTCAACATAAAAAGGACATGGAACTGTTGGAACAAGTCCAGAGAAGGGCCATGAGGATGATCAGGGGACTGGAGCACCTCCTGTATGAAGATAGGCTGAGAAAGTTGGGGCTGTTCAGCCTGGAGAAGAGAAGGCTGTGTGGAGACCTCATAGCAGCCTTCCAGTATCTGAAGGGGGCCTATAGGGATGCTGGGGAGGGACTCTTCATTAGGGACTGTAGTGACAGAACAAGGGGTAACGGGTTAAAACTTAAACAGGGGAAGTTTAGGTTGGATATAAGGAGGAAATTCTTTCCTGTTAGGGTGGTGAGGCACTGGAATGGGTTGCCCTGGGAGGTTGTGAATGCTCCATCCCTGGCAGTGTTGAAGAGCAGGTTGGACAAGGCCTTGGGTGATATGGTTTAGTGTGAGGTGTCCCTGCCCATGGGAGGGGGGTTGGAACTAGATGATCTTAAGGTCCCTTCCAGCCCTAACTATTCTATGATTCTATGATTCTATGGTTTGTGGGTCAATGGAGCATGAAGAAACTTTATCATAGATCAGTAGGTAACATCTAGAAGTCCAGATGTTCCTTGTCCTATCAAGTCCTCTGCTTTGTTCATAATGCTTC